TCTCATCGATGTTTCTGACTCTCTATCTCTCTCCCTTCCTCTCTGTAAAAAATCAATAAAATATATTTTAAAAAAAAAATAAAATAAAATAAAATTTAAAAAAAATTAATTTCCAGGGGCTGAGTAATATTTTTTCTGGAAAGGGGGCGGTAGGCCAAATAAGTTTGGGAACCACTGTTATAGATAATACAAAATGCATTAATGTATTCATTCAACAAATGTTTATTCAGGGCTTACTGTTTTAGGCTCTGGATTATGGAGGGAACAAAACAAAGACTATGCTCTCATAGAACTCACAAATAATGGGGATGCTAACAAGAAATAAAGAAACAAATATTTAACTTCATGTCGGTAGTGAAAGTACTGTAAGAAAAATAGCATCAGTTTCTAGAGAGTGGCAAGAGTGGGCAACGAGGCCTCTTTAAGGAGGTGACATCTACGCACAGGGGGGCGAGGGAATGAGAGAGCCATCTGGAGAACGAGCATTTCAGGCAGACAGACAGCAAGTACAAAGGCCCCGGGGTCTGCTTCATAAGCCTGAGCAACCAGAAGGTGAGAGGGTGAGTGGTAGAACCTGAGGTTGGTGGGGTAACTCCAAGGGATGAAGGAAATGCTACAGTGAGCGGGGAGGAGGTTGGATATATTCAGAACACACTGGGAAGCCATGGCAAGGCTCTAGGCCAGTGGTTCTCAACCTTCTGGCCCTTTAAATACAGTTCCTCATGTTGTGATCCAACCATAAAATTATTTTCGTTGCTACTTCATAACTGTAATGTTGCTACTGTTAGGAATCATAATGTAAATATCTGATATGCAGGATGGTCTTAGGCGACCCCTGTGAAGGGTCGTTCGACCACCAAAGGGGTCGCGACCCACAGGTTGAGAACCGCTGCTCTAGGCAGAAGTAACGTGGTCTGACTTACTTTCTCTGGCTGCTAAGAGACTGGAGGACTGGGTGCTAGCATCAGGGAGACCAGGTCCAGCAGCACTAAGTGAATTTAAATGTCACCGGTCTGAGCCCTGGCTTGCCCTCTTAAAAACTGTTCTCCACTGTCTGTAACACAAAGCAAATCATCCAAAATCTGGAGCGGAAGCTTTTACCACCCTCCCTCTAATGGGTACTTACGTGCCAGGCATTGAATCCTCACAACCACCCCGTGTCACGCCCATTTAATTTTATTTTATTTTTACTTTAATTTAATTTTTATTTTATTTTAAAATATATTTTATTGATTTTTTTACAGAGAGGAAGAGAGAGGGAGAGAGTTAGCTAATGTTGTGGCCCCACCCCATAACAAAGAAACAGAATTTCTGGAGGATGAGGCCCAGAAATCAGGATTTTAAAAAGATTCCCAGGTGATTCTAATGTGCAGCCAAGGTTGAGAACCACTGCTCTAATGGGTACTTACCATGTGCCAGGCATTCATTGAATCCTCACAACCACCCCATGTCACGCCCATTTTAAAGGAGCAACTGAGGCTCAGGTGAAATGCATACCCAAGGTCACAGCTAGAAAAAAAAAGCAGAGCTGGGATTAGAGCCCAACTCACCTCACCCCAAAGTCCTAGCCTCTTACCATCGACCACAGGCAGTGGGTCATCTGCAGCCCTCACCCTCCCTCTCCCCACCATCCAGAGAGTTCTTTCTCGGCTTCAGGCTGAAAGAGTTATGGGCACCAGCTGCCCTCACTGCTCTGCACATGCCACACTCCCTGTCGGCCAGCAGATGGCGCCAGAGCCACGTCGGTATTAGCAGAGCCTTGGGCATTGCCAGGTGGGGGCCGTTTCCTGCTGAGGCCTCCTCTCCCAAGCATCCCTGGTTCTTGAAGCTCCACTTTGTGCAGCATCTGTGTACATACATTCACCATTGGTTCCTGGGCCGTGCAGCCTTGGGGGGACTCACAAAGGTCACACTGGGAGTTGGGGTCCTGGGCTCCACCCCGAGCTCTGCAGCCAGCTCACTGGGTGATCTTGGGTAAGCTCTCTGGGCCTCGATTTCCCCTTCTGTGCACAGAGAGCGTTTCTGTCCAGGCTGACCACCAGTGGCGTCCCTACCACGTCATCACCTTTCCCCCTGCTCGTGGTCGAGTAGTTGCAGTGAGGGGCTAACTGCATGTCTGCTTGGAACAGACTGAAGGATTCCGGAGAGAAGCCAGGGAAGGGGGCGTCCAGGCCGGAGGACGTGCAGCTCATAGGCCGCCTGCAGACCCGCTTGAAGGAGCGAGAGGAGATCATCAAGCAGCTCACGGTGAGGCTGCTGGCTACCAGGGGGCCCTTCGTGGGTGCCTGAGAGTTCCTGGGGGAGGAGGAGGGAAGGAAGGGGCATTCTCCTGCACCTGGCATTTCGCTGGGCACCTCAGGTTTTAATGATGATCACCATAAAACCACCTTACAAAAGATCCTTGGTTATTTTTCTACAAAAGAATTCATACTCACTAAAAAAAATTAACACAGGAAAATAGAAGGTAAAAAAGTCTCTCCGCTCCCAGGCCCCACAGCATCTGCCCATGGCTGATATCACTCTTTTTTATTAGCCAACAGAATTTGGGGAGATCTAGAATGGCTCGCCTTAGGTTTGAATTTCAGCAGATTCAAGCAAGCCAATTACTCTATATCGATCTTCTGTAAAAATGACCACCTGTTTTCCAGTTAGCAAAGCCACCCCCTGGGTCCCTTGAAGGGAAAAGCTTTCCTTGACTCCCTCTGCTTCTGTATCAGGCATCCACCATGGCCTGGTAGCCATTTATTTAAAAATAATACAGAAGGAAAGAAAAAGTGGCACACATTAACAACATTAGCCAGATCGGGATTGTACCCGGGGGTCTGCCTGCTTTGCCTCCTTATTGACTTTCTGCACTTTAATTGTTAACTTCCTGCAGTGCTCTTCTTAGATGCTGATAGCACTTGGGTCTCTAACTTCCCTAAGGCATTCCCAATAAGCTGGCCCATTGCTTTACCAGAGGGGCGGGGACACAAAGACCCCAGGAGTAAAGGCGCTTCCTCACAGCTCCCTGGATGGCATCTCGTTCGCCTGGCTTCCCCCCCTCCGCCCCCCAGGACTTTCCTTCTCTCTGTCTTCCACCCTCACACAGCCGCCCAGTGCCCTGTGGTTAGGCTCATTTAGACGCAGTTGTGCTGTTTTTCCAGGAGGAGAGGAGATTTCACTACGCAGCGTTCCCCAGCGCAATGTCCCACCGGAATCGGTCCTTCTCTTTCAACCCTCACCCAGGGTATTTGACCCCTTCCATGAAGGTAGGTCGGTTCTGCTGGTTTGGGTACATTGCACGATCTGCTGGTTTCATTCTTCTAAGGCACCTGCAGCGTATTTACCAATGGCTGGGAGACGGTCAAAAGAAGACTCACTAGGACCCACAGAAAATAACCCAAATGCTTAAACAATGTTTATGTCTGGCTAGGAAGATGATGTGTATTTTTATTTTTTATGGGTTTTTTTTTGTCTTTTCCAAATTTTCTGTAAATAAATGTGTCACTATTAATAGTGGCTTTAACAGTAATTGGTGGTAGGAAGAAGGGTGAGAAGAGCAGGAATCTTCCACTTCTTAACATTTTTTTCCTTATATACTTATGGAATTTGTTACAATAAAAATATTCACCAAATCTCTCATTTGCTATCACAAATCCTAAAAGCTCAAAAAAAAAAGTCGTATTTTTTAATGGCTCACAGAACAATAAATCTAATATCAGCTGACCTGATATAAGATCACTTATGACTTTTTTTTTAATATATTTTATTGATTTTTTACAGAGAGGAAGGGAGAGAGATAGAGAGTCAGAAACATCGATGAGAGTGAAACATCGATCAGGTGCCTCCTGCACATCTCCCACTGGGGATGTGCCCGCAACCCAGGTACATGCCCTTGACCGGAATCGAACCTGGGACCTCCCAGTCCGCAGGCCGACGCTCTATCAACTGAGCCAAACCGGTTTCGGCATCACTTATGACTTTTACATATCCTTCTTACTGTGACAAAATGTAAGTTTCACTTCAGAAATAGTCATGCATTGGAGGACAAGATGGGTCCAGCCCCAGCTGGGGGTGTTATGTGGCCTTTTAAAATCTAAACAAAGATCTTTGAATTACAAAACACATCTGTCCCCAGGAATTTCGGATAAGAGATTGTGGACATGTGTGTGTTTTTTTAAAACACAAAATAGGTTAGAGGGGAAAATGCTTTGAAAAATAATATGGAAGTACGTAAATAAAAGCACTGCTCCTCACGGGCACGGATTGGGTTGGGTGGGTCTTACTGACTCTTATAATAACACCTCTTTGGGGCGACGCTAAGAGGCCTGTCCTTTAACACAAACAGAAAAAGAAGATGGAGGACGCGCCCAGCCGAGTGGTCAGCGTGCCCAACCTCGCCTCCTACGCCAAGAACTTTCTGAGCGGTGACCTGAGCTCCCGGATCAACGCCCCGCCAATCACTAAGTCCCCCAGCTTGGACCCAAGCCCCGGGGGTGGCCGGCCTTACAAGCCCACCCAGTCTCTAGACGTGAAAGCGGCCACCAGGTAGGGGCAGGCGCTGTGATCCCATTTTCCCGGAATAGGAGGAAAACTGGAATTCCATTCTGGCACCTGTGCAATACCCGGCACTGGGACAGATACAAAGAGCAGCAGGTCAAGCCCTGCCTGGGAAAATGGCAGTTCCGCCAAGTGGAAGATTGTGTAAGGGCAGAGAATGTGCCATTCTTTAGAAGAGGGACTATTTCTGGTACCACATTCCAGGACCCCCACCCCCGACACACACATACACACACCCCCTTTTTTTTCATAGTTAGACAAGAGGCATTGAATCCATTCAGAGGCAAAATTTTTAATTCTGAGCTTTGAAGTTTGCATTTCAGAAAGGGCCACTCCTAAAATGTTCCTTTTCCTAAGGCCCTGCCTACCCACGGCTGTTTGGGCAAATGGGGCAGCATACATCTCGATGAGTGTTGGACTGCAAGGACCTCCTGGTGGTCAGTCATAGAATGAGGCCAGCCCTTTGTTTCACAGCTAAGGAACCTGAGGCCTGGAGCCCCCAGCACATCCCTGTATTAACTGCTAGAGCCAGCTCCCGGGTTCATCTCGTACTTGTGTACCTCTGTTTAAGGCTATCTTCCCATCTACATATATATATAAAAAGCTTATGTGTTAAGTGTCTGACCGTCCAGCCGGTCGCTATGACATGCACTGACCACCAGGGGGAAGACACTCAATGCAAGAGCTGCCATGACGCACACTGGCCATTTACAGAGAAATGGCACCGCGGACCTGGCGCCCACAAAGCAGCACTGAGCTTCTCCCAAGTGGGACACAGGCCCTGCCACACCCCGGAGGGACAGCCCACCAAATCGCAGCCGATGCTGCCGAGACCCCAGGGCGCAAAATGCAGCCCACAGCCCAGCCCAGCCCGGGAACAGTCGCCATGGGCACTGGGCAATGACGTCACATAGCGCCCGGCTTCTTCTCCCTAGTGACTAGCCTCCTTGGAGTTTCTTCAGCCCAGGAACACGACTTGCTTTATAGCCAGGTGCAAACATTTTACACTTTAACCAAATGTCTGTGAAGCGTTTTCCTGTGCCTCATCTCATTTGATCCTCACAGAACTCCTGGAGTAGGTAGATAGGAGACTTGGTGGAATCCTTTTTTTTTTTTTTTTTCATTAGCTGGAAAACAGAGATTTAGAAAGCTTAGAAACTTGACCTGACTGAAAAGAAGTAAGAATTGGTGGACCTTGAAAATAACTTCAAGTTTTCTCACTGTGCAGAATATAGTCAAACACTGCTGCAGTTAAATATTTCATCCTTTTTTTCTCCCTGCTTGATCTAGAATAATAATCTGCTTCATGTTGATATTTACTGCTGTGTTGCTGACAATTACCTGAAAGAGAAGTTGGGGTGCTTCACTGGGCTGGAAAAAGTTTAGCTACATCAGAAAGCAGGTCTAATTAAGCAAGTTTATCTATATATATCTATCTATCTATCTATCTATCTATCTATATACATACACACATATATATATCGGCGCTAATCTCACGCATGTGTTTCCATCTGTCATTGTCTATCGTGAATTTGGTTGACATGTCTATTATAGAGAAAGGGTGAATAGCAATATTAAAATATTTCTTCTAATTAATTTCCTTTCAGTGTGCATGAATTTGTGCACCAGGGCTCTAGTTGCTGTATATGAAGCGCCAAAATTGCAGATAGAGACCATTCATCCAGTATACACCATACTTGCTTGCTAACTATTTCCCCTTTTCAATTTATGAGGCTAATTTCACAGCCTCATTGTGATGTTGGAACACAGTAGATAACTTTTAAAGAAGCCATAAATTATAATGCTGTGTTGATCAACCATTTCTTTCTTCTTTTTCTTTTGTTCCTGTAGAGAATTTTTATGGGTGTATTTGAACCAAACTGACAACATATGCTAGGGAGCAAGATCTCAAATGCTCCTCTTTTACCGGTTTTTTTTTGGGGGGGGGAGGGGCGGTTATTTATTAACTAGGGGCCCAGTGCACAAATTCGTGCACCTTGAAAGGAACTATGGGCCACGAGGCTGCAGTGGGCACAGGGGTGGGTCTCCGCCCATCCTCCGCCCCCCTGCCCAGCCACCCCTGTGCCCCGGCCCCCAGTCCCGTCTGCCGGCAGCCCTGCTCCTGCCGCCACCGCTCCCACGTGCTGACAGTGTTGGCCCCGCTTGCACCCGCTGACGATGCAGAGCCATTGGGGCTGATGCCAGCAGCAGGTGCGAGCAGGCCAGCGCCGTCAGCGGGTGTGAGCGGCGGCTACTGACCCCAATCGCCCCTCAGGAGCAGGGGGAGGTGGAGAAGCCCTCAGGGGTGATCGGGGCAGGTAGCCACCGCTCGCACCTGCTGATGGCCGGCAGCGGGTACGAGTGGCAGCTTCAGTGCTGGCTGTGGGTGCGAGTGGGGCCGGCGCTGGCAGTGGGTGCGAGCACTGGGTGGGACCATGGCACGTGGAAGCAAAGAATTTTCAGTAACCACCAGAGGCTCACTCCGATGACAGCGACCGGTGCTCCGCCTTGGTCTGGCACTCCCGCTCACCTGCTCCACCATCACGCTGCGGCCGACGCCCACCATGTTCCATGCTCTGCTGCCTGCTGCTGATGCCCACCATGTTCTGTGTGCGCCCCCTGGTGGTCAGCACATGTCATAGCGACCGGTTGTTCAGTTGTTTGATTGTTCGGTTATTCCGCTGTTCAATCTATTTGCATATTAGGGTTTTATATATAGAGATTTGTGCTTGGAATAAATGTTGCAAATACGCCTCATGATCTTAAGTGAAACAATGGAGAACCTTTGGTTTTCAAATCTGAAATTAGACATTCCCTTCACAGCTGGTTTCCAGATGCTAATGTTGGCCAGTCATGTTCCAGCACTTTTTGAAGAGCAAAGAAGCAGTTATCTTCCCCTGAAATGATGGTGGGGTATTAAGATGTTTTCTGAGTAATTTTAAAAACCGCAAAACCATCTAATCCTTTTTGTTGTTTTTTGTTTAGGACACAAGATGGTGAAACAGCCCAACCCAAAGAAGTCCAGCAGAAACAGGGCTCTGCCCACCAGGAATGGTTCACCAAGTACTTTTCTTTCTAAAGTGATCCTTGGGATCCATCACAGAAAGGACATTTGAAAAAAAATTTCTTTTAAAACATCTGAGGGAATGAACTAAAAAATCAATCAACCAAATAACCTGCTTTGTAATATGATTTGCACCCAATAGCTAAACAAATTTCGGCACTGACATTTCATACTGTTTCATTGTGGCACCGGTTCATTAAAAATCCTTGACGTTAGGGTAAAAGGAACCCGTGTTACCCGAGAACATCATAGGAAAATGTCAATGTTACTGATGACCTGCCTGTAGTATTTCGTGTCCATAGCTTGCGCTCCGCTTCGTGGTTTCCGCGGTCTACTTTTAAAGGGATTTCATTTTCGAGGATGCAACTCAGATCCACTTGAAAAGTGTTTCTATGTAAGTGATATAATTTAAGATGCACATCTAACCTCATTAAGAAGAGGAATAAAACAAAGTTCCGAATAACCAGGAAAGCCAATTAAAACACAAAACAAGCAAATCGAAGCTACTAGGACTGAACAGCCACAGACCTTGACACTTGGATTTCCTAATTCTGGACGTGAAGTAGCTAATAGAGGGGATAACACCTACCTCAAAATGGGGCTTTATGAGGATTAAGCAACATAATATGGCAATGATCCCGATCACAAATTCGAATTAAGCACTGCCAGGATTTGTGAATAACCGAGCCCCGCCCCGTCATACCTCTGTTTCAATCTGCAATGCCAACTTGGCCATTTGTGAAGGTTTCTAGATTATCTGTCCTTTCAAGTCAAAGATCTACTGAACCTCTGGTCTCTGGGTTTGGGCCATTTGCCTCATGATGCATTGCGTCCCCATTGCATGGATGCTTGGTAGGTTAAAGGGGACAGGTAGTGGCCATCCACGGTGCTGACCTTGCTCAGCCCACACTGAACTGTCGGACCCTCTGAAGGAGCAGTGTGACTTGACAAAACTTAATACTTCTTTTAATGGGCAAAATGTATTCTCAGTCCTCTGGTGCTGGCCCAGCAAGGTGGCCCATGAACAGTTGTTTATTCTATGCACTGTCAAATCTTTGCTCTTTGAATAAAACTTTAAACAACTGGGCGATAAAAATGGTTATGACTTGTATTGATTTTCCAAAAGAAGGGTGAAATTTGATGAAGACTGAACTTGGAAATGGAAAGTTCACATTGACCTCAATCGGATCATCTTCAAATAAAAAGTGGCCTCTTACATACTTATGTCCTTTTGAGAGAAATGCATTACATCTCAAAACTCCTAATTTAAAGGTAAATTTACTATCTAATCAAAACACATGGCCCCAATAATTTTTTAACTGCAAATACTTACCATACCTGTAATGTACCGTATTATTTTTCAGTATCAATATATTGTAGTTGTCTTTTGCTTCCTGCTCAGAGTGAGCATTGTAGGACTTTGTATCTTGTTTTAAAGACTGCACACAATCCTACTTTTGTTGATTGAAACCTTTTCCCACCCTGCAGCTCCTGACAACTAGCAAAGCAGGCTTCCCTTCATTCTGCTGTCCCATACCTCGGCGTAACACCTGCTGCAGGGACAGGATTGTACTCAAGACTCTGCATCTGTTTGGACTCCTTTCTTGTTGCAGGTGAGTGAAAAAGATTTGTTAAATTTCTAGATCCTACCCAATCATTACATATGTGTTAACTAAGTTTTTGCATGCTTCTATCATCATGGGAGTGAGGAGACAAGGGAACTCCCAGCTGATGCCTTATTTCTCATTGAAGGAGGGATTTCTATGTTCATCAACCAACCAGCAAGATGCCATTAAAAGGAAAATGATATTTACAAACAGAGAAGATTGAAAAATTATTTATTTGCTAGAAATTTTTTGAATTTAATAAAAAATGGCAATAACTGATACATACACTAATTCAAAGTCTTTTCACTAAGCACCAAGGAGGACAGTTCCTGAACTTTTCACCAAGAACCGCTTTATTACTGAAAGTTGCCTAAATCCGTTTAATTTGGTTTTTAATGAAGAAATCCAAAGCTGCCAATCAGAGCTTCTAATCAGCATGAGATGGCCAGGTTAACAACCCTGAAGTCATGTTATCTGAGAAAAAATTTTTTTTCAAGTTTTGTTTAACTCACACATGTTCAGTGAGAGGACTAAGTGGCCTCAGGCTGTATACCATACATGCACAAACACAATGGGTAGCAAGTACTATGTAGAAGAGATAATACATAATCTCTGTATGTTCAGAGGAAAATAATGCCTAATTCTCATGAGGGGGCACAGAGACACATACAAATTACTAACCCTCGAGGGAGCACCAAGCAAGGCTGATAGGAGACAGGAAGTGCTGTGTCCTGGGGGGATGGGGGGGACAGCAGGGAGGGCATTTGGAGGGTTCAGGGAGCATCCAGGCACCACGAGCAGATGTCAGTGCTTACAGGGAGGGGCCTTCAAGGCTGGAGAAAACAAAACAAGTCAAGATACCGAGCCCCAGAGGCACTGCCTGTTCAGGAGACAGTGGTGCTTGTTTGGGGTAAGGGGATGTAATCTAGCCAGACCTAAACAACCAAGAAAGGAGCCTCATTCAGGGACAGCCAGACACAGCACCCGGCGGTGTTTCTCAGCAGCAACATCTCCATAAAGAATCGTGTTGGCCTGTATGACCACCGAGAGGGTAAAGCACCTTCCCAAATGCTGAGGCTCCACATGCTCTTTGTGGAGAGGAAGTCACTGAGGGTCACCCTGCAGGCCGCTCCCCACCCTGAGGCCCTGTCCCCTGGAATCACCACCATCCATTAGCAAGAACCTTCCTTAATGGGAAATTTCTGCTTCACAAAGCAAAACACAACACAAGCAAACAAAACTCAAAACAAAAAGAGACTAACCCTCACACTTCACCTCTGCCCCAGTCGTACTAGTGGGAACGGGGTCTGCTATTTAGACTGATTCTTCACTGCACAATGTGACAAAATTTACATATCACTGCTCCTCCTGCAGCCTCCAACCCAAAAAAGTAAGCAAGCATCACACAAAATATAAACTTACCACAAATAAAAGTCAACATCAACTTAAGGATCCTACTATAATATCACTGCACTAACCTAGGCTATGACAATCCTCTTCCGAGTATTTACAAAAGATCTCATTCTGAGAGCTCTGGATGCATTACAAACATTGCTGTATTAGATTCCTCTTCTTGAGGTAGTTCAAAGTCTAGAAACGTGGCAAATTTACATATTTGTACCTACTGCCACTGGGGGTTAATTAAGATAAAAGGCCTACAACCCAAATCCTCATCCTTTGATTCACAGATCAGACCAGTTTTTCCCTCATGATACAAACTAATCTAAAACTGAAAACAAACAGATTAAAAGTTACACAAACATTTAAAAAATAAAACAAGCAGAAAAAAGAAACATAGAAAGCAATGTTAGTGGCATCACACTAACAGTCTAAATTTTGTTAAAAACACGAATATTTACTTGGTTTACCAAAGCTATACACATTTTATAAAGTAATAATAAAGTAAGAGCTTATAAAAAACGGGAACGTTTTAGGTGGGAGCATGCAACTGAGATGTCTCGTTCTCTGGCAGAGTTCTTCCAAAATGTCATGCCACGGAGAAGCGACCCTTTCCTGCGGCTTTTCCTCAGTTCTGCTTCATAGGCGCGGGGATGTTGGCAGACGCCTGCTCAAGGTAGGCCAGGGAGCCCTGCGGGATGTCGGCGGGCTTCTTGTGCTGCCCGTTGATGTCCTCCAGCACCTGCTGCCAATGCCGTAGCTTGGTCAGGTGCTTCTGGACCAGGGCGTCTTTCCGCTGCAGCTCGTTCCGCAGTTCCGAGACATCCTGCAAGTGAAGGTGACGAAGTCAGAGCAACCTCGTGAGAAGCAAATGCAGTCCCTGAATAATTAAGAGCACTAAGAAGTAAATTCAAAACAAAGAAAATCCATTAAACCACACCACGCCCAATCATTACTCTGCTTGGCTCCACTATTTGAATAACCCAAAGCAACTCTTCCAATGGCAAATGTCTGCCTAACATGGAGAGTTTTTATTCTTAATCCATTTTCTTTTAATAAGTAATTCCCAAGTTATAATATTCCAAAGTATCAAGGAGCAGCCAAAAAGAAACCAGTCTCTTCCCCACCCTGGTCCCAGCGAGTCAATATCTCTGTCCAAAGGCTACTGCTGGGAACCTGAAAGACAGTGAGAATCTGAAACACATGGTAACAACTGTTTAAAAGAGTCCACAATCGCTGTTCTAACATTTCATATTAGGAAGTGTTAAGATCTCATTTTCAAGAGTTTTTTTTAGTGAATACTAGCATTGTAATTCTTTATCAAGAGATAAAGCTAGTAACAGGAGACTGTTACTTACACCTATTCAACTACTATTGAACACCCCTATGTTACTACTGAAGTATTCAAATCAGGAACTGATCTGATGCAATGAACTATGAGAGTATCACCTCACCATTCACCTTCTCAACAGGGATATCATTGAATAAAAATATTTTAATTGGTCAGCTTGTGGAAGTAGTTACTTCAAACACTGCCCACAAAACGTTCATCTCAATTGAGTGTTTCTCATTAGAGGCACCACTGGCCGTGTGGCGGACGATTCTTCCCTCTTCCACACGGCAGGGGGCAGGTCCTGGCCCAACACAGGAAATGCCACTGCAGCTCTCCAGTCATCCTGGCCACCCCAACACACTTCACATGCCCCTGCTTCACACGACTGAGATAATGAAGTCCTGAGCTTGGAGGAGCCTGGGCCGGAACACTAATTTGGGGTTCCTTGGACAAAGCTGGTCCTGTGTATGGGCACCTGGGGATGCACAGATCACAGCTCCTGTCCAAAGTGAGTTCCATGACTGGCTTTCCAACCTTTTTCAAGCAGCAGTACCTTTCCTTTAAGAAACATCTTCTATGACAGCCAGCATATGAAAATGCTGTTTGAAGCCCTGATTCCCCCACCCCCTTTCCTCCACTACTCGTCCAGGTTGTCATGAACACTGACAACTAGCAACATTTGTCCTCAATCTATAAAGACCTACGATAGCTAATGGAAAAGTGTTTTCATTTAAAGCAGAAACGGAACTCTGACAACATGTGCTCTTTCGAAAGGTGAGGAGATAACGGAGCTCATACCTCTTTGATAACCTGCTCTGGCTTCTGGACAGATAACTGCAATCTTTTTTGTAGAAAAAAACATTCTGTTTGTCTTGCAATGTCCAGAAATTTCTGGATACACTGATCAACACCTTAAAAAAACACACAAAATATTAAATTAAAAAAAATATTCGACACAAAAATCTCCCTCATACATGAACAGTCAGAATATCAAAACATCACCTTCTCATGGATGTAATCTGGGATTTTAAATTTGGCCACAGCAATGATATTGACCCCCAGCCTTCCACATGTTAGCCAACATTAAATAGCAGATAATTTTTACTTTTATCAGGTGAATAAGAGACCTACTACAGCACACTTCTGAAGAAAAACAATCCAGCGTTCCAGCAAGAAGCATGATTCCAGTTAAAACCTAATATGTAAAATCTAGTACAAAGAAACCAGAACCACTGGTCTTATCAGGTGAATAAGAGACCTACTACAGCACACTTCTTCTGAAGAAAAACAATCCAGAGTTCCAGCAAGAAGCATGATTCCAGTTAAAACCTAACATGTAAAATCTAGTACAAAGAAACCAGAACCACTGGTTACCTCTGAGGACAGGACTTGGGCGAGGAGGAAGCACAAGAGACTGTTACTTACACCTATTCAAAAACTAAACAAAACTTACTTTAAAAGCAGAACACACTATTGGTCTTTGTCCTAATGCTGCTATGAAAAGTTCATGGTGAATGGTTCATCATGAATGACAAGATGTCAATTAATAAACTGAACAGAGAACCAGCAGTATACGAGCAATCTGCATAAATCTTCCCCAGAACAGTTCTCTGAGGGTACCAGCAGGACTGAAACGCATCAAGTGTAAAATCAGCCATCAGAGCCAGGTCTAAAAAGAGGGCATGCTCACCAGTTCGAATTTCCTCCTGATCCGTGCCATTGACATAGTCCTGACTCACCAGAGAAGCAAAGCAAGCC